AGGCAGGTAACTGACCCTGTGGTCATCAGGAGACAGTGAATGAACTTGAGTTTTGGTCCAGGCTGGTCCACCGATTATCTGGATAATCCTGAACAGTGTTATTCTCTTCCCTCATTTGTGAAGCAAATATTTAGATTTAATAAATGTAGATGTGACTTCTGGGTCCTGAAATTCTTTTAGTCTATGAATACAAGGCAGATTATCTGCAAATAGCCCTGGGGTTGCATAAACAGCTACTGAACTGTAACAGCAGAGGAGCCTCAGTCTCACCCACAGGTGTGGGGTTTTATCTGCACAAGACAGTGTGCAGCAGGTGGGGACCTTTGTGCTATCAAGAAAAACAGTGAAGATGGCCCGGTAGTTATTTTCTGAGGAAAAATGGAGAATCATATGTCACCTTTGAATCAGGGTTTGCATTTTGAAAATTGCTTTTTAATTTCATCTAAAGGTTGGGAGAAAAGGCCCATGAAGAAGATTTTTGAAAGCTCGTTTTGAAAATGTTCAATTACACCAATGTATCCATGGTTTCTTGGAAAATCCCTTTTTCTTGAAAGCAACTTTTGGGAAAATGCTTAACGTCTATCCTAAGTGGTCCCACTGGAAGTGGGGAGGAGAGAAACCTGATGTTTAGTCCCTGAGCATTTTTTTTCCCCTAAACTTTAATCACCTCCCTTTGGACCACAGTTTCTTCACATTTTCAGCTTTCTCTCTAAATACAGATAAACACATACACACATTTCTGGAGGAGAGAGTGATGGATTTAGCATTGTGCAGACTCACTGTCAGAAGGCTGAGATGCTAGTGGAACCTGAAATTGAACGATAACATAGATTTGCTTATTGGAAGCATGCAGGAGGGGCGGAACAGATGGTATTTCCTTTCCTTCCTTCCCTGCCATGTGTTCTGTGTGATGTGGAGCCAGCCTCCAGGAGGCTGCAGATCCAAGGCTCTGTGATCCTTCACCCCCTCATTCCCCTCCACTTCATCTTCTACTGCTCATCTGGCCCATTTAAGCCTTTAGTGCAAAAGAGCTATCTGTGATACCAATTCTTGGGCAGGTTTCATGGTACAAAAATGAGATCCCAGAAATAAGATTGTTAAAATAGTTGTTCTCAATTACAGCAAGATATTACCAGCAATTCATATACCACTTTCTGTTCTCATTTTGGGCTTTATACTCGACAAAAAGTTGGGTTTTYCCCCCTCATCTATTCTAATTCCATCTTTAAAATGATTCTATAAATGTATTTGGCAGAGATGATTCTTTATTTTACAAACAATGAAAATAAAGTTGAATTCACTTGAATCTATTATATTGAATCATTGAGTCAAAAGAAGAAACAAATCTAGGAACCAGGATCTCCTAGTTCTAGACACCCAGACACTTTCCACTACCCCAGGCTATTCCAAATCATAAAATAAAATAAAACAAAACCTAATGATTGTTTTCATGTATGCTGGGTCATTTCTCTTCTGCTTTAAGAATTGGAACCCTGTCTAAAATCATACCCACTTTTAGATTTAGGATGTTTATATTGTAAACACTTTTGAGAAGAGTCATGTTCCAGTCTCTTTTAGGTGAGGTTATCAAGTTATTCACTTGACTTAGAGATGGCAGAGAGAACTACGTCTCTGCTCTAGATGGAGAGTGACGTCATCTTTCTTCCTTTCTAATTTGAAAATTTCCCACTCTTATCCTATTTTGAGCAAGGAGTTGAAGTTCAGATAGTTTCCTCTCAAAGCCACTGTTGAAATGCATAGAGTGTGTGAGGGGGTGCACCCTAAAACAATAAAAAATTCCCTCTAGGCCTTTCCCTTGGCATAGATTGTGTTTCATGTATTTACTTATTTCTGAAATGGAACCATTAACCTCAGAGGCTGAGACACAGGGCAAGCCGTTTTCAGAGGAGGAAGCGTGACAGCTTTGCCATGACACYGTTGGGCCCTGGAAGCTGAGTCCTCCCTAAGGCCAGTGCCTGGTGAAGGAGGGAAGGGCAGAGGGTTGGAGGAGATGGCAAAGATCACTTGTCTGAAAGTTTAGATAGTGAGTACCAGTTTTAGCAACTGGGCTCTATGCTTAGTGAACATTTCCTAAACTTCCCCGTTTCTTTATTTGTTTACATCTTTGTATTTCTGGTAGGTCTATGAGCTCTGTAAGATTTGAAAGCTTTTTACTCAGCTCTGTCCTTAATGTTTCTCTGAGGATAGGCACAACATCAGGTCAGATATTTGCACTGAATTAAATGACCAGGGTACATCCATTTCTAATATTTCATGGGCATTTTAATAGTTAACATATTCCTCCAAGGACAACTATAATATGAGGAGAAAAATTATACTCCAGGGTTGTTTCTTGAGTGATGTGTGACTTGAGATGACTTGAAATTTCTACAGAAGTATAGTTGATTCTGCTGTAGTATAGTGTATGCATTAGTAAACACAACTGGTTAGTTGTACAATAAAAAATCTTATAAGAAAGGGCTTACGGCATGACAGATGCAATTCCACAGCATGTACAATAAGAAAAATGAGAAAGTATATCCCATTTACGTATGATATATCAAAGTGCATAAGTGCAGTTTACTGTCATGTATAACTAATTAAAACAAATTTTTAAAAAAATTTAAAAAGATAGGGCTTAAGGTAAAATAGGGTTAGGAGCACCAAACTCAAAAGGCATTGATGACACATAGAATATAAGAACCTAATAAAATGATAGCAGAGTTGTATGCATATTAAAAATTTTAGAAATACATAAATGCTATAATAAATAGGTTTCTTTGCCTTTAAAAGATTCACAGTTTTCTTGTGGATTTGAGTGTCAGAAGGGCTTGAGTTGTTGCAAAGTGATGGAAAGGTGTTTTTATGAAATGGAATGATAGTGATAACTACAGAGGTCAATGAGGGAAGCTCATAACACAGTAGTGAATTTTAAATTCTGTGTTTATATTTGATAACTCTGTGTGTGTGTGTGTGTGTGTGTGTGTGTGTGTGTGTGTGTGTGTATGTTTGGAATATACATCTAAGGTTCATTTTTCTGTATTTATCTGATATTTTCTGATGATAAGAGTCAGAAATAAATTGCAACATCCACATTATGTTTAAATTGTTTCCTAATATATAAATAAAGTAAAAATGTGTTTTCAAGAAAGTGCTTTGAGGTGAGCAATCATCACCTAACATTTGTGTCTTATACCAGGAGTGAAGCAGTCACATGTTTTGTTTTCTGTTCACAGAGTGACCAAAACTACAGAGATACCAAAGTAGTGACATCTATGTTCTTTATCCAGTGAGGATCTGGTGTTGTCTCATGTTAGTCAAATACCTCAAAATATTTTTCAAACATTTCTGTTTGGAGAGAACTCAAAATACACTTTGCCAGTTGATTTGTTTAGCACTCTTAACAAACAAGAAATTAATTCTTATGCTTCTAATTAATTTTTCCTGCAATTAGCTGAAATGCAGGTCTCTAAGAATTTGTTAGATAATCAAGCATGAGCCAATGTGAATGTTCTTTAAAAAACGTATCAAACCAAAATTTCCTAAGAAGTTTACCTGCAAACTGAACAGCACATTTTGATTTTGTTTTGAATGAGGTATGTCTAGGTCTCATGAAGTCATTTCTTAAAGTTCTGCAGAATCAATTTTTTACAACATGGAAAAAAAAAGGAAAAGAATGTTGGTACTGTGAGGCTGATGATGATTGATTGATCCTTTCTTCTCTTCCTTTCTTCCTTCATCATTCACCATACCATCCTTTACAAAAACTTTTCTTCAGGACCTATTATGTTGCAGATTCTTTGCTAGGAGCCCACAAAGAGTGTGCTACCTAGTGGAAGAGAAAAACAAAATAAGGAATTATTATATAAGACTAAGATGATCTATTGTTCTAGCCACTTTTGTGCTGTTCTAACAGAATACCTAAAACTAGGTAATTTATAATGAATAGACATGTATTGGTTTACATTTCTGGAAACTGGAAAGTCATATATAAAGGTTCTAGTATCTAACAAGAGCTAATTGCCATGTGATCACATGGTAGAAGGCGAGAGTGTAGGAGACCACATTCCCGAAAGCCCTTTTTTAAGGCATAAAACCCACCAGTGAGAACGGAATCTTCACAGCTTAATTATCTTTTGAAGTTCTCTCTTGTTTACATTGCTAGAATGGCAATTCAATCCCAATATGAATTTTAGAGGGTACAGCATTGTAACCAAAGTGTCAATATGCTAATAGTGAAGGACAGGGTCCACTATATGAAATTGGATGGTCATGGCATTCGTATCAATCTAGAGGGACATATGAGGAGTCAGTACCATGTCTATACCTGTGCCTTCACCTGTCTCATATTTGGATTTTACCAAAGAAGCCTTAGAAAACATGCATATCACATTTAGAATAACTGGGATGGTAGCTATTGAAGTGAATATCAAATTTAAGACTGTAAAAAGAAATCTCTGAGACTATTCTCTAATGCTGTATAAACTATAAATGAGCTTCTAAGATGAGTAACTTATTTTCCAGTGGTGTTCACAAAGCAGAGAGTTAGCTATTTGAAACAATCTTATACCTCTAGATACAATTACTATAGGAGAACTTGAAGACCAGAAAATAAACATTTACATCTATAATGGTCTCCCTTTCTATAGAATAAGTACAAGTGTAGTTAATTAATGCTTTGCTCAAATGGTCAATTAAAGGAATGCATGGATAGCTGGGCTTTTGAGTCAGACCCACCTAGGTGGATGAAACACTCCTAGGTGAGTCTCGGGACCACAGACAACCTACATGAAACCCTGAGCTTCATTGTCACCATCTGTGAAAGAAAATCACACCTGTCCTTCAGACTTCTTGTGAGGAGTAGATGCAATGACACAAGGAAGGAAGTGGGGCCTGACTTTATGCAGAGAAAGTGATTAATAAATGATGGTCCTTAATGTCATGATTGCCCTCTTCATGGGCAATCTAATCTCTTTTTCTCTCTCTTCCTATCATTCTAGACAACTGTGATGACCCATTAGCATCCCTGCTGTCTCCAATGGCTTTTTCCAGCTCCTCAGATCTCACTGGTACCCCCAGCACAGCTCAGCTCAACTGGAGAGTTGGTAAGTAAAAGGAACAAAAATCCCATGCCAAGTGCCAAATGAGAATACCACAAACACAGGAGAAAAAGTGATCATTTCATATACTGGGTTCATGTCCAAAGGCAGTGTTCAGAAGATGTGGAAGGACAAGGGTTAAAATTTAACAGAATCATACTTCCCATCACATAACAGAAATCCAGAGACTGCCTTTTTTTTATTATAAGAAGCCTTTGCAAAAGTGACTTTTAAAAGGAATTTGCTTTATTTTTATACTTTGTGTATCTAACATAAATAGCTACCCAAACATGTTATTATAACAAGTTTGTAGAATAATGAAGTTTATTTAAAATTTCCAACTTTAATTTTACCATAAAACTAATATTGCTATCTTTAAGAGTATTCAAAATACCATTAAAATTCAAAGTAAGAATTCAATCTATAATCTTAGTAGTAGGAGATAACTGTGGTTAAGTAGCTAGTATGTAACTTTACAAATGCTGACAGAAGTCAGGGTAGACACTCTGAACTAGTCTCTGATGTTAAATGCCCTTAATAAATGCGATATTGGATGTCTGGATATTACTATAGGAGAACTTGAAGACCCTAAAATAAACATTTACATCTATAATAGTCTCCCTTTCTATAGAATAATACTTTAATTATATATGGGTGCTGATTTTTATAATGTATATGAGAGATATAAAGATAGAAAAGGTGATATTTGAATTACTTTAGTTTTAAAGACTAATTATCTGATAACATTTGAATATCTGATTAAAGTTATAAAGGTTCTCCTAGGTGAAGAAAAAATGTATGAAATTTCAAAAGACCCTTTTAGGGTCTATTTTAGAGTTCATATTAATTTCTCATGACCATTATTTCATTGGTATGTTAGCCCAACCACATTAGTAAATTTTTCATTGTTGAATCATCATTGCATCCTGGAATACATTTTAATAAGTGATTTTGTAATTTTTATGTGTGTATTTTTAAGTAATGAAAGATTTAATTTGTGAAAGCTTTCATTTATATTTCATTTTTGAATATAATGGGACCAGTAATTTAAAAGCCAGCAAGGGTCAAAATTTATTTGAGAAAGCCATTTAAGAATACAGACAATCTTTCATATTTGAACACTCAAAAATATTTATTAAAAACTGCTTATGTGCTGAACATGTACAGACTTTCTTTTCTTGTCCTTATTCTGTAAACATTGAAGGATAACAAGAATTTACCTGGCACTTTACAACATCCTAGGTATTGTAAAGATCAAAGAGATATTATAAATCATCAAAGAGATGATTTAAGGTATATATGCAAAAATGTGTATACGTTGTATGCAAATACTACATCATTTTATACCACAGACTTGAGCATTCACGGAATTTGGTACCAGAGGAGGACCATGAACCAAACCACTATAGATTCCAAGGGATGATTGCATTATTCTAAAAGCAAAAGAATGTCCAGTTAGAGATATAACAGAAAAATATTAATAAAATTTTATAATAACACTGACCTTTGATGATTATTCTGTGCTACAAATTTTATGAATAATTTTACCAATATCATGATAGAGGTAACAAAGTTGTTTTAGAATAAGCAATGTAACCTTTTACTTCAAGTAGGGTCCCTGAAGCTAATAGAAGTTGCATGATTTACCCCAAATCACACAGCTAGGAAAGAAAATACTTGGATTCAAACTTAATTAATCTGAATCTAAGTCTCATTTTCACAATCAGCACATTAGCAAATTGATTCACAGGTACAGATTAAAGAGGGTGAAGTAGAAAGAAGAAAGATTTTATTCTCTTTTATTGCTGAGTAATATTCCATTGTGTATATATGCTACATTTTTTTTTATCCAATCGTCTATTGAAGGGCATTTAGGTTGGTTTCACAATTTAGCTATTGTGAATTGTGCTGCTATAAACATTGATGTGGCTGTGTCCCTGTAGTATGCTGTTTTTAAGTCCTTTGTGTATAGATTGAGGAGAGAGATATTTGTCTCAAATGGTGGTTCCCTGCTGTTATATATAAATAATGAAAAAAAAATATCCAACCAGAAAAAAAAGAAAAAAGAGAAAGTAATCCACTACAGTTCAGACTGTAACACTTATAAAAGTTACAAGTTACTTTGAGTTACTTCAAGTCACTTACCTGCTCTTGATCTCAGCTTTTTATCTGTGAAGTAGGCTCAGAATGACTGCCTTGTAGCATTATGTGTAGAAAGAAACCAGACTTGTATAACCAAAAAAGTCTTTCCCACTGCAGGATAGAGAACTGGAGTAGAGCAAGGAGGTCCACTGTTCTTTCAGGAAGAAGCAGTTGGGGAGACTCAGAGTTTCCAACAGGGCTTGCCAGGATAGTTTGTCTCAATTCCATTCAAACCCTGGGCATTTTCTGAGAAACTATGGGTCTGGTCATAGGCAGCTCTTTCCTTATTGGAGTGGTAGTGACTAGGAACAAGTGTCTCCACTGCAATAGATAATAACCCTGCTCCAGTTCATAGGGAGGCTGGGTGCCTCAGCCCAAGGCCACTATGACTGTGTGAATAGGGAAATTCCACTTCTCTCCTCTCAACAGTCTAAATCCTGAAAATTGAATAAATTCAGTCCTACTGATGGGGTGCATTGACTTCATCTTCCAACATGGAATTCCCTTCCTTCACTGGGGCCCAACCTTCCCTTCACAGCACCACTGAATCATCTMGAGAGCTTTACAGGGAGCATTGCCTGAGCCTATCTCCCAAATATCTGAATTAATTGGGATGAGACTCAAGCAAAGATGCCAATCAAGTGAATAAATAAATGCTTTCTGAGTGATTCTAGAATACRATGATAGTGGCAAACCACTACATAGGATGAATTCATGGGTAACAAACCCTTCTGTGACTACTGAGCACCTTCAGTTTGTTAGTCAACATGCAAAAATTGGCAAGAATAGGTACAAACACTATCAGTAAAGAGTTGACATAGATAAAGCAGAGTATAATTAAAACCTGCGATATTAATTAACACCTAACTTATGTCACTGATGATAATAATGATATTATAATATCGTTTTATATGGATTCTATTTATGGATATATATGTATGTATAAAATAAATCATATATATGCTATCCAGTATATTTTTAGTAGGGCATGCAAAATTAAAATATATACAAATATTGAATATATAAAAGTAGAATTAATGTATACAGAAGTATATATATAGGGTTGGGCATGGATACACACATACATAGACACACGTAGTAGAATGTATATATGTGTATACTTATCTTTCAGTTCCATTGGTTTCAAGACCCCAATGCATACCAAAATCTATGGATATTCAAATTTCTTAGATAAAATGATATAGATTTGCATATAATCTATGCACAACCTCCTGTATAATTTAATTCATTTTTGGATTTCTTATAATACGTAATACAATGTAAATGCCATGTAAATAGTTACACTATATTTTACTAAGGAATAATGACAAGGATAAAAGTGGATACATGTTCAATTCATAAGCCATGATTTTCAAGTGTTTCCTGTACCCAGTTTTTTGAATCCTCAAATGCAAAACTCAAGGATAAAAAGAACCTACAATATATAATATATGAATGGATAAAATAATATACACTTGTATGTACAAACATACATAAAATATATGCATATGTTGTATATACTATAATATACATGTTAGTATAAAACATACATGCGATTATAATAATGTTATTAAGAATAAATTTTGTAATATGAATGGATAAAAAATAATAAGTCATGGAAAACCCATAGCATTAATTAAAATTGGACATATTAGTAAAAGTAGACTGAATTTTCTGCTTCTCAAACCAGTCTGATGTAATTTTTGTCCATTGTCAGGATCTAGAAGAAATTATAGCAATGAAAACTCCTTTTCCACATGGATTCCTTTAAATCTTCCCTTTTATTTTATGAGTGGAAAGACATCAAATATAGCCCAAAGAGTACATTCCACCACAAGGTGTGAAATCTGCGATGCGCTCAGGTTTCCTTGGAGATGTCAACCATCTTCTTCCTGAATACAGGGATTATTTTATTTAATTTTTTTTTAAATTTATAAATGACATTAGAATGCATTGCAATTCTTATTAGACATATAGAACACAATTTTTCATATCTCTGGCTGTATACAAACTATATTCACACCATTTCTTGTCTTCATACATGTACTTTGGGTAATAATGACCATGATATTCCACTATCATTTCTAACCCCATACACCTTCCCTTCCCCCTCCCACCCCTCTGCCCTATCTAGAGTTCATCTATTTCTCCCAAATTCCCTCTCCCCATCCCACTATGAATCAGCCTCCTTATATCAGAGAAAACATTTGGCATTTGGTTTTTTGGGATTGGGTAACATCACTTAGCATTATTTTCTCTAACTCCATCCATTTACCTGCAATGCCATGATTTTATTATTTTTTATTGATGGGTAATATTCCATTGTGTATATATGCCACATTTTTTAAATCCATTTATCTATTGAAGGACATTTACGATGGTTCCACAATTTAGCTATTGTGAATTGTGCTGCTATAAATACTGATGTGGCTGTGTCCCTGTAGTATGCTGTTTTTAAGTCCCTTGAGTATAGACCGAGGAGAGGGACAGCTGGTTCTAATGGTGGTTCCATTCTCAATTTTCCAAGAAATCTCCATACTGCTTTCCATATTGGCTGCACCAATTTGCAGTCCCACCAGCAGTGTATGAGTGTGCCTTTTTCCTCACATCCTCGCCAACACTTATTGTTGTTTGTCTTCATAATAGCTGCCATTCTGACTGGAGTGACATGAAATCTTAGAGTAGTTTGATTTGCATTTCTCTAATTGCTATCGATGATGAACATTTTTTCATATACGTGTTGATTGATTCTATATCATCTTCTGAGAAGTGTCGGTACAGGTCCTTGGCCCATTTATTGATTAGATTACTTGTTGTTTGGGGATTCAGCTTTTTGAGTTCTTTATATACTCTAAAGATTAGTT